ACGCCAATTCTGCATAATAAAAATATGCAAGATTGGTGCATTTAGGCAATCGTGTGATTCCAGCATTACTGTTTGTACGTATAATTGAATGGAAAAGTTCGACAACCGTACAAATTTAACATTTTACATTTTAAAGTAAGAGATTCATTTGTTTCTGAGCTAAAAAAACGTACGAGATACTTAACCGTTAACGTACCAAATGTGATTGCATGCTTATGAAGATTAACTAGCGCACAAATATAATTTTGCCTTGACAGACGACAACTATCTGCATTTAGGAAATAGCTGATTTGTTGTTGTTGATAAATTCTTTGGTGTTTGCATATACATACACAAAAACATGCGATTTTACCACTATTTTACATAAACAAATTGTATGACTTTATGACAGTACGACGCTTACGACATCTTGTGAATTACCGAATTAAATAAATAAATAAAAAATAAAAAATTATATAATATAATAATAATAAATAAAAAATTATATCGCGGACCGGTCGTTTGGGACTTGTACGGTTGTCGAACTACCGATTCAATTACAAAATTCAAGAATCTTTTTGGAAGTTTTCTGATATTTGGAGTGTTTACAAAAGTGAGGGAATAAAAGTCTCATTGGCTGCTATATTGCAGTATCCGGTGCGTATGAGTGACCCGTTCCCTTTATCCAGTTTCCATAAATCATATCGTCGTTTAAAGTACAAAACCGCGTATCAACAAAATGCAAAACGGCGTATCAAGATAATGCAAAACCGGAAAAATAATTCAAATAAAAAATTGATTTAATGTGGTGATTACTTTTGATTATTTCAGTAGGTAGAATAGTAGTAGGTCGGGTTTTTCAAGTCAATTTTAAAATGTATCTGCCTTTGAACACTAATTAAAGAAATGTGACTTAGGAGCAGATAAATTTGAAAACTACTTGGGAAAGTTAGTTTTTAGTGATTCTTTAATATTTCCATACAACAAAAATTAGACAAATTTCTTTTTCCTGTCAGGTGGTTCAAGCTGAGAGATCTCTGAATGGCACGCAAGTCTTATAAAGGTTATTAGAGAGATTTTGAGATATGAACATGCTGACATATTAACCCAAAAACTAAACTCATATATTATTAAAGTGTGCGTCTGAGCAGCTGCCTTAAAACGAAATTAGACGACCATAAATAAAGTAAGAAATGTGTGTCCCAATCGCATACACCTACATTCATTCATTCATTCATTCATAGGTAGANTCATATATTATTAAAGTGTGCGTCTGAGCAGCTGCCTTAAAACGAAATTAGACGACCATAAATAAAGTAAGAAATGTGTGTCCTAATCGCATACACCTACATTCATTCATTCATTCATAGGTACATTGATACACACGTGCAACATATGTATAAACTTTTTTATAACGTCCTACGTGGGCATACGTCAATAACAGTAATGATGGCTGTATGTAATAACTTATGTTTGTCACGACTTGATGACGACTTAAGCGGTAAACATGCAAGCTCGCCTAAAAATATGTTTCACATATTCGTTCAAAATGTTGTCATGAATGACAGTGAGTCCAGGGTTATCTATTTGTGGCTGAATGAAATGCATTGCTGTGTATATTTGTCAAATATTTGTTGGACCCCAGCGGGATTGGTGCCTTTGTTGAAGACGCGAGTATAACTGCACACACNAAGCGGTAAACATGCAAGCTCGCCTAAAAATATGTTTCACATATTCGTTCGAAATGTTGTCATGAATGACAGTGAGTCCAGGGTTATCTATTTGTGGCTGAATGAAATGCATTGCATGTGTATATTTGTCAAATATTTGTTGGACCCCAGCGGGATTGGTGCCTTTGTTGAAGACGCGAACAGTATCGGTCATTTCTATAGCACGCCATTTCAAAGTGATATTGTGTGCCACGTATGTTTATTTATTTATTTTTAAGAATTTTCAGTTAAAATGTAGNACAGTATCGGTCATTTCTATAGCACGCCATTTCAAAGTGATATTGTGTGCCATTTGTGTTTATTTATTTATTTTTAAGAATTTTCAATTAAAATGTAGTTCATTCTCAGACAAACCCCATACAAACCCAAGTTTAACAATTTGTAGAAAACTACAAAAAGTGCAACAAATTTTCACCTAAATTTCAAACTTTTTTCTCGGAAGTGTTAAAACTTTTTTTTCAATTTTAGTCTGATAATGTGCAAGTTTCAAGTGGCTAACAGTTACCGTTGATTTTTTAGAATTTTTTTCGCCAAAGGTGTCGCGGATTTCTTCCATATACCNAAAATGTAGTTCATTCTCAGACAAACCCCATATAAACCCAAGTTTAACAATTTGTAGAAAACTACAAAAAGTGCAACAAATTTTCACCTAAATTTCAAACTGTTTTCTCGGAAGCGTTAAAATCNAAAAAAAATTCTAAAAAACTAACGGTAATTCGTAGCCACTTGAAATTTGCACATTATCAGACTAAAATTGAAGGGACTAAAGACTGTGTACTCAAAAAAATTCTAACACTTCCGGAANTTCAAGTGGCTAAAAGTTACCGTTGATTTTTTAGAATTTTTTCGCCAAAGATGTCGCGGATTTCTTCCATATACCAATAAATTGAGTTTATTCATTATATGGAATCCAATGCGACAAAAATTCTAAAAAATTAAGCGTAGCCACTTGAAATTTGCACATTATCAGACTAAAATTGGAGGATACAACTTTGTACTCAAAAAAATTCTAACACTTCCGAGAAAAAAGTTTGAAATTTAGGTGAAATTTTTTTGCACTTTTTTGTAGTTTTCTACAAATTATTAAACTTGGGTTTATATGGGGTTTGTCTGAAATGAACTATATTTTAATTGAAAATTCTTAAAAATAAATAACTAAACATAAGCGGCACACACTATCANGTTTGAAATTTAGGTGAAAATTTTTTGCACTTTTTTGTAGTTTTCTACAAGTTATTAAACTTGGATTTATGTGGGGTTTGTCTGACAATGAACTATATTTTAATTGAAAATTCTTAAAAATAAATAACTAAACATAAGCGGCACACACTATCACTTTGAAATGGCGTGCTTTAGATATGACTGATACTGTACATATAAGTATGTACGTGGGCGTTAACATACCAAAACACTGTCACAACCAGTGTTATCACATTTTTTTTTTTATTTTTTAACAAAGTCACCGGAAAAAGTTACCAAATTCAACATAAAATTACTAAATTTATTTTATGTACAGAACTGTACAAACATACATATCGAGCCCTAGCCACCAAAATAACATAAACGACATTTTTTCAAAATCTNTTTTTTTTTTATTTTTTAACAAAGTCACCGGAAAAAGTTACCAAATTCAACATAAAATTACTAAATTTATTTTATGTACAGAACTGTACAAACATACATATCGAGCCCTAGCCACCAAAATAACGTAAATCAAAATTNGTACGGGAACGCTTTCTGGTAAATTCCTGCAAATTCTTGCAACTTCTTGCCCTTTAAAAATCTTAATTTTTTCCAAAAAAAAAATANAAAACTGTCAAAAGGCGAAAGAAGTCAGAGAACTGAGTACGGGAACGCTTCCTGGTAAATTCCTGCAAATTCTTGCAACTTCTTGCCCTTTAAAAATGTTAATTTTTTCCAAAAAAAAAATCNTTGATGCAGAAATATTAGTTGCGTTCCCCAACTTTTCTGGGTTAAAACCTGTAAAACTGTCAAAAGGCGAAAGAAGTCAGAGAACTGAGTACGGGAACGCTTCCTGGTAAATTCCTGCAAATTCTTGCAACTTCTTGCCCTTTAAAAATCTTAATTTTTTCCAAAAAAAAAATCTCCAAAATAAGATTTTAAAGCTAAAAAAAATCTTTTCGATCCCAAAAAATCTTCATTTAAAAATGCCTAAAAAGAAACACAAAGTTCGATTTGTCTTCACGGCTGTAAATAGTCCTTATTATGTTGGTTGAAAATATTACCAATTTCAAGTTATAAAGTCCTTTTTATAACAAATTAAATTTAAAATGAATATTGCCTCGTATCATCACAAAATTTGTAGCACAGTTAACATATGTACATATATATACACTGGCGAAAATATTAATAGGGACGCGACATTTTGCCAGTTTTGACCGACTATTTTTTTATGTATATAGGTTACCGCATAACTTTGGACTACTTACACGCGGGAAACAGATTTAGGTACGAAATTTATACACAATATGAAGTATAAGATATCTAAAGTGTAGTTCTCATTAACTCACAAATCACGTTTTATGAGTTGTGGCAGTCTTTTAATAAAAGCCTACACAGCCAAGTATTCAACACTTCTTGCTACGTACATATGTGTCTTTACTTAAACATATTATTCCAAACCTTTTTCCAGTGAATTGATTTTGTGTAGAAAAAATATTCTGTTAACGTCGGCAAACATACATCCATATATTAAAAGGAAAAGGAATGTCGGACATTCTAAATTTAGAAATTGTAACCTATATGCAAACACTTTGAGTTTGCCTAAGTGGCAAAGGACAACATGTACGATTCGAGTAGTGGTAGCAATGAGGGCAATGACGATAAAAGCAAATATGCTGCGCAGATAAAATACCGCAGTGATAGACAGAGTTGCGGACAAACACTTGAACAGACAAGCAACGAACAGAGCTCCGGCAGTCACTCCGGGGCCAACAAGCAACACTTTCAAATACGCGTCGACAGCGTTGATGACGACAGTACCGCGCCAATAACGGAATCAAATTCCCGTGAGGATCTCATAGCAAGCACTGAACGCATTGCTGATACTACTCGTACGCGAGATTTTCCACGTAAGTTGCCCTTGCATCAATTCGATAGTTTTTAGTGGTCACAATTGGTTGTAGAGCGTTTTTTTTATGTCTGAACATATGTATGTATAAAATTGTATAGGTTTTCTGTCAGTTCCTGCTTTACGCAACTCCCGGCCATTTTCTGATAATTTTGTAAAGCGCCAAATCTCATCCAGTCCTGCGAAAAGTGAGCGTGCAATACGCTCAAGCTCGACAGGAGGGAAAATGCGCGCTAGACGTTTGAGTCAAGACAGTGGAATCGTTTCTGGTCGGTTATTTGGCGGTTTGGTAAGTAGGAGCCCGCTGGTCCGCCTATAAAGTCTTAACGTTCGCATGTATTGGATTTCAGGAAAACGGGTTTCTCGACACAGTTGTTCCCACTAAACATTTCGCCAAGTCATCTGATAATTTGTATAATTTTTTGGTTAGTGAAGCCGCCACAAATACCTATAATCAAAATCATATAGATCAAGACCTTCATCAAACGAAAGAAGAAAAAACGCAAGTCATCATACCGTACACACCCAAATTGGTTGAGCAACCACCAGGGGTGAAGAAGGCAACTTCTTATACAGAAAAATGGCTTAATTCCACCATGTCACGCGCCTTCGGCCATCTGAAGTCGAATTCTATTGCGATACCACTGCCTACTCATATCGAAACTGAGTCGGCAGAACCGAGTCCGACGCAAGCATTTGGACCAAAAATCGTGAATACCGAAGATATTCCTGGTACAGCGATGCGCCGAGGCTTGGGTCTGCATTTAAATACCACACCGGCAGACGGTACGAACCGTGGAGGAGATCACGGGGTATCTGATACTTTGACTGACGAAGATCAGGGCGAGGTAATGGAATCCGCACACTCAAATATCTTAATTGATCAGTTCGGATACAAGCAGCTAATAGCAGCATCACGCAAGAGCTCTTTAGCAGGAAGCAATTTTAACGGTAGCCATAATGGTAGTCGAAAAACCAGCAAAAGTCACAGCGCCAGTGGAGATGAGAGCGATGCTCGACGCATAAGTAAACAAGACAGAGAGGTGAAATGCTGATGTAGATAATTAACTTGTAGCACGCGAGTATAACTGTTTAAATCTTACTTTAGGGGCTTGATCCCGAATCTTTAATGTTTCGTGACGGACGTCGAAAAGTCGATATGGTACTCGCGTGGGAAGAAGAGGATTTTGGTGTAATGACTGAGGCTGAATCACGTCGTCGTGACTATCGGCGCTCCTTTATGGAGAATCTTATCAAAGAAGGACTAGAAGTCGAACTAGAAGACAAGACACAGTCATTTAATGAAAAAACATACTTCTTGAAGATTCATTTACCTTGGCGTCTCGAAACCCGGCTGGCAGAAGTTATGAATCTGAAGCTACCTATCAAGAGATTTATTACAATCTCTGTGAAGGCGTCATGGGTAGGTCTGATGGCCTTAGTTTTCTAAAATCTCTGTGAAGGCGTCATGGGTAGGTCTGATGGCCTTAGTTTTCTAATAACTTGGCATTAATTAGAATATCCTTAAGCGTAGGATGAAGAGAATGTTGTGGCGCGAAATATGCATTATTGGAGGTCTGTATGGAATCGACTGACACGCAAAATTCAGCTTGATCAAAGTGTTCTAGAGGGTGAAACAACCTTTAAAGCAGCCACTGTAAATGGCAATCCCGAGGAGCAGTGAGTATAGCTTTCGCACAGTAAAATTCAATGGGATCAAATGTCATTCCTCTAATTCTATAGGTTCATCGTCAAAGATCGAGCCACCGCATACACGAGCGCTCAACGTTCCCTAATGGTTATGCAGGTGCTCATTCGTACGCCCTTCGACGACACCGATCGCGTCGGCATTCGCCGTTTACTCAACGATTCCACGTATTTGGCTTGTTTTCCTCTACATGAAGGTCGTTACGATCGTCCACACTCCAGTGGAATGTCATTTGATCGCCGAATTTTATATCTTACATGGGCGCATCCCTCACAGTGGTATAAAAAGCAACCTCTATGCCTGGTGCGCAAGTACTTCGGCGATAAAATTGCCTTGTATTTTTGTTGGTTGGGATTCTATACAGAGATGCTAGTGTATCCGGCTGTGGTAGGTACCTTGTGTTTTCTCTACGGGCTTGCTTCACTGGACTCTGAAGACAATACGCCAAGCAAAGAAATTTGCAATGAATATGGAACTGGTAACATTACGTTATGCCCACTCTGTGATAAAGCCTGCAGCTATCAACATCTATACGATTCTTGTCTCTTTTCTCGCTTAACTTATCTCTTCGACAATCCGTCCACTGTATTTTTTGCCATATTTATGTCATTCTGGGGTATGAAATATCGGTTTTACTTAAATAGGAGTTATTTTTTTACTTTAACTATTTCAACAGCAACTACATTTCTGGAGTTATGGAAACGCAAGCAATCGGTACTCGTTTGGGAATGGGATTTACATAATGTTGAGTCCGATGAGGAAAATCGTCCGGAATTTGAAACGAACGCCACTACTTTCCGAATGAATCCAGTCACCAGGGAGAAGGAGCCTTACATGTCCACTTGGAGCCGTGCCATCCGTTTCGTCATCACCGGCAGTGCCGTCCTGTTTATGGTAAGAATACGAGTACATAGTAGGTATTTCGGCAATAAATCATTACTGAGTATGTGCTTTGATTTCAACCAACAGATCTCGGTTGTGTTGTCCGCCGTTTTGGGTACCATCATATACCGCATTTCCTTAGTTTCGGTTATTTATGGTGGAGGGGGATTCTTCGTGAAGGATCATGCAAAATTATTCACAACTATTACTGCAGCGCTTATTAATTTAGTCGTTATAATGATATTGACAAGGGTACGAATGTGTGCATGTTTTATTCCGTAAAGTTTTTGAAATTCAATTCCAATCTGCATTTTAGATCTACCATCGCATGGCTATCAGATTGACGAATTTGGAAAATCCTAGAACACACACCGAGTACGAAGACTCCTACACTTTTAAAATATTCTTTTTCGAGTTCATGAATTTCTATTCATCGCTCATCTACATCGCTTTCTTCAAAGGGCGTTTCTTCGATTATCCTGGCGATGACCAAGCGAGACGTAGTGAATTCTTTCGCCTAAAAAATGACATCTGTGATCCGGCAGGATGCTTATCGGAGCTGTGCATCCAACTTGCCATCATTATGGTAGGCAAGCAGTGCTGGAATAACTTTATGGAGTACTTGTTTCCGAAATTCTACAATTGGTGGCGACATCGCAAGCACAAAGCGGCTACCAAAGATGTCACCCACTTGCACATGGCTTGGGAGCAAGATTACCACATGCAAGATCCAGGGCGCTTAGCTCTGTTCGATGAATATTTGGAAATGAGTAAGCGCTTAAAACAATTAATGTATATTTAATATGTAAATAAATTACTAAAAAATTTATGTGCATTTCCAAAGTATTGCAGTATGGATTTGTTACGCTGTTTGTGGCTGCATTCCCTTTGGCACCACTATTTGCGTTGCTCAACAACGTTGCTGAGATCCGTTTGGACGCCTACAAAATGGTGACGCAGGCGCGGCGTCCGTTGGCGGAACGGGTAGAAGACATCGGTGCCTGGTATGGCATTTTACGTATTATCACATACACAGCGGTGGTGTCCAACGCATTCGTGATAGCCTATACTAGCGATTTCATCCCTCGCATGGTCTACAAATTCGTGTATTCAGATACGAACACACTTGCGGGATATATTGAGCATTCACTCTCGACTTTTAACACATCCGATTATAAAGAGGAGTGGGGTGCCACAAGCAACGAGAAAGATCCCGATGTGTGCCAGTATCGTGGGTATCGGTGAGTACATGGTATATCATATGCATACATACATATTTATACATTAGACTGCATCATTCCCCAAACAAACAAAAAAATCTGTGCTTTATTTCCATTGGAATTATAAAATCAACCTTATTTTAACAGCCAAATTCATAAAAAATAAAGAAGACTTTAATTGCTTTATAAATCGAAAAGTTTTGTGAAAGCTCTTTAAACCTATTTTATTATTTAAGAATAAGGCCATAAAACTTCCAACAAAATAGTTCGGAAAAATATTAAGATTTACGGGAGCTGGACCGATTTGAAAATACCGTCAAAAATTGAGTTTTTTATGAATAAAAATAGTTTCTTACGGCCATATTATTAACTTGTCGTTATTCTTTCTTATTCAACTTCATGAAGCTACTGAAAAACTCAGGCACGGTTGCAGTGGAATTATTTTATTTATTACAAATTTTCAGCGAAAATGCTACAAATGCAGACTACAGAGCACAAGAAGGTTAAATTTTAAAATTAGAGCATTGCATTTAATAAACAATAACGTTGCTGCCTTTTCAGATTCTTTCCTGTTTCTATTTCACATTAAGTGGATTAAAAAAGATAATTACAAACTAAAAAAAAAAACAGTTTATATTTATTACCTGCAAGTATTTTTAAAGCAATTCTAAAACTCAGTAATGCATTTAATGAATAACATGGAATAACTGCCTTATTCGCCCGATTCAGACCGAATAGTTATTCCCCGGGATAGCATTCTGACTTTCTTACTACGCATTATTCCGTTTTATTCTATACTCTCCGGACACGCTGAATGTATGCATATGTATGTACATTTACGTATTTTGAGAAAGAAATTATATGCCATCACGTACCTCGTTTATTATATACTTAAAGAATCTTGTCGAAGTTTTTGAACATGCNAATCTTACAGTTTTTTAGACAGGGGGCAACCCCATTAAAATTCTAGCTAAAAAAGATCCGTCTACTGTCGATACAGAGTATATTCGAGAAAATCTCGTCAAAATGCGTTCGACTTTCCTTTATACTATGTATAGATAAACGTCTAATAGACTTATTCTGACTAATTCTCCTCAATTCCGTAAATATTCTTACTCTGTCGTATGACAAAACAGTTTAAGCTTAAAAAATCTCCATAAAGACATTAAACAAAATTTCGACGGAATCGTAATAATGAGATTTTTGATTTTTCAAAGATTGGCATAAGAAAAACTTGAATAACCTAACCACATAGATGGCCACTTTGCATTGCCAGTAAAAATGCAGTAACCATTAAAGTTATATATGTATCACGTTTTTCCTTTATGAAATCATGCAGTAAATTTTTACTGATGAGGAAATTTCATTTGCCTTACAAGTAAAATTATTATTGATTTATGAAAGTTCGGTAGTTAAAATTCAATGCACAAGGTAAATCTTTAAAAAAAATTGCGTTAATTTTATTCTTTCAAACGTTTATTTTGAACATATATAAGTATTTATTATAAGCTGTTAGCTTTTCTTAAAACAAGCAATTCAAAATTGAAATCGCTAAGTTTTTGTCTTCTGGAACGATTCACAATCCCAGCGAATGAAAACCACCACTCTACGGGCGCTGGATGTGTGTTTAGACAATTCGTCGTGGCGTCTCGTTCGACTAAGTGTAAAATTGTTTCCTGAAGATGATTTCCTAAGTCTCCGGAAAAAACACTGAATGCTGCATTTACATGAGGCGATTTTATAGGCGATTCAACATTGCTCCAGAAAAATTGCTCGTGTAAATGGTGATTCGAAAATCGCTTGCCTCAAAGTAACCAGCAAGTCAACTTTTGCAGGCGATTATCGCCTGTCAAAAAATCGCCTCATGTAAAGGTAGCTTAGTGCAAAATTAAGTGTAATAATTTTACCGGTACTTTCTTCCTCGAAATCAAGGAATGATTTCTGGGGCGCTTGTGGCAAAATACGAGTTTCGGCATCCGCTATTTTACCATACTTCACCACAAAAGTATTGATCATTTTCTTCACTTTTTTCTTCTGTTTGCGTGGTTTCTGTTTCTAAGTGAGCTTTTAAAAATCGTAGTTTTATAGAAGGAATAGTTATTGCGGCAATAACAACATCCCAAGCGTGGGGTTGCATTAAGACATATTTTTCGAATGACACATTTTTAGCCTTAAGGGCACTATAGAAGGGACAAGGTAACCAAAGTAAATCCATAGTATTTTCGCCCTGAAGAAAATCGATCGCTTCTGCTAATAAAGCATAAGCTTTACGTATTCGTCCAAGTGCTCAAGCACATCATTAAGAATGGTAGGAATTTTCAGACGGTAAAAAGGTATTAGCACGAGGCGATTTTGCGTTCAAATCACGCAGGGTTGCTCGGAAAAAGAGTTGAATGGCTAAATGTTGGCTGGCGACCAACTTTGTTTAAAGCGATTAGTTGAAAGACCGTTCAACCAAAAGTAGAATGCATAGTTGAACAATGCAAACGCCTTTTTATGGCGAATATTTTGATATTTTTTATATTTTGAAAATTTGCTTAGAACTACACGTAGAATTCTTCTGTGCCATTCAGGCATAGCAGAAAAAATCTCCCATACAAATGGACCCGCCCTAATATACATACTTGATTTTATATTCTAACTCAACTTTTTACATGAAAAAAATATACTTACAGTAATGGACCTCATGACACCGAACCCTATGGCCTGAGCCCACATTATTGGCATGTTTTCGCCGCACGCTTGGCTTTCGTTGTCGTTTTCGAGGTAATTATTTTCTAACTTAGATACACTTTTATATAATGTAGCTTTTCTGCAATATCTAATGCACGATTTCTTATCTTTAAGCACGTCGTATTCGTCATCACAGGCATCATGCAGTTCATAATACCCGACATACCCGCCGAAGTGAAGACGCAAATGCAACGTGAGCAGCTGCTGGCCAAAGAGGCCAAATATCAGCATGGCATTAAACGCGCACAACAGGGTGACAATCAGGACTTGCTGAGCATCTTCCGGGATGCCGGAAGTCGTGGAAGTGGCGCTACAATGGGCACAGGTGGTTTTATGGGTCGTGGCAGCTGGGCGCGCCGCTTCAGTCGCCTGAGTGATGGCTTGGATGCCCATGTGGAGGTGGCGGCACGTCCTCGTCGGTCAGTCGAGTCGACAGTGTGGGAAGTTTCTTGACACGAAGAAGAAGATGATGCTGCGCAGATAACTACAAATGCCAAATAGTGAAGCTATGTGTAGCCACCTAACCATGTAAACTAATGAACATTCAAGTGATCATCTCAATTTGTTGATCACTTCCAAACGCGCGCATACCTCTCTATGTACACACATACATAAATACATACATACATGTACATTAGGTTGGTCCAAAAATACACAGGAAAATCAACTTTTTTGGAATTTTCTTGCTACCACCCTGACCAGAAAATGGAAAAGAAGGACACCCATATTTTTTTTTTATTTTGAAATCGTTTAGTATTTGACCGCGCCGGCACAAAATTATGAAACAAGTTTCTGGATAGGGTTTTTTCATCATTGAGGTGTTTCACCGCTAAAATACGTGATGTTGGGTGCATTCCAAAACGTCAAATACAAAGCATCAGTATATTTTATTTCCATACCGCACTTTAAGAAAAAGTCTAACTTGCGCAACCTAGCTGAAAACTCGCATCTAAGCATGCTTGCGCACATTTGGCATTACAAGCTGTTGAGGCTTAGTTATAATGCTTTTTATTTTGACGTTTTGGAATGCAGCCTTTATATTCTATCTTATTCCAACTAATATACATGAATATAAAACAATTATACGCTTTCAGACCTGAACTAAACCGATCATAAGGAAGTTTCGCATACGCGTTGAACACTTATAAATGGGGTGTTCACAGTTCGTTCCAAATTGACAACCCTATTCGCGTGCAATGACAAAACTCGCCGCTATAACTTGTGTCATGTTTATAATCAATTGTCACGTTTACGTATGCAGGGGGCAATCTGAAAACTCCAACAGTGACAATTGCTATTATTTTTGTGATGACCCATTGAGTACGTGAGTCAGTGGGGGACGCACGGGGTGTGTTTTAATATGGCGCATATATATGTATAATATGGCGTCTATGTATTAAAACACCCCCGTGGGTACGCCACTGACTGACACGTAGTTTAGTTTAAGTAGTAGAAGTAAAAATTCAATACGCTAGGAAATTGCGTTGATTTAAATTTTTTTTTTTGTTTGCTGACGGTGTTAGGATTTTCTTCCATAAAAAATGCACTGTTCTAAGATAAAAAGTGCGTGAATCGAATCTCTCTCTACTTGGATTCTAAAATCTTTTAATAAATAATCTACAGTATGGGTCACACTAACCGCTCCTTTTCGTTGTCCCACCCGCGACAGAGGAATTTCGGATTTTTTTTTTATAACAAAGCAATACTTTTTGTGTAAGTTTTTGCTTTCAATTATTCGTGGTTCTTTTTTTAATTTCAAGACATCAAGTTCACACAGAAAAGTGAAATAAATTCGAGAGTTTCCGCAAAATATATCTGCTCAAAAAAGCAGGTTCTTTTTTTCCCACCCGATTTTTTCCCATACAAAAGTAAGTTGGAATTTTTTTTTCGTATTTTGTAATAACGCTTATAATAGTCAATTAGCGGTAGCTTTATTAAAATGTAGAATTGATGAGTACTTTATACTTAGATTTTAAAAATAAAGTACATTTTTAATGTACAAATGTCCCACCCGTGACGATGGAATACCTCATAAGTTTAATATGTATGTATTTATCATTATTGTTCGAAGATTTCTGAAGCGAAATATTTTTGATCAATCTATATCTTTTTATAGCAATTCTACAATAGAAATGTATTTGCCCCATCGAAATACATACACCGCGTGTCATAATTATAAACGCACCACATAATGACAAATTTTAACAGTTTATCCACAAACCTGCATACTCAAAATCTTTCTAAGAAATCTAATTAAGAAGTTCGAAATTTTTACGAAAGTTTGTGGAATTGTTTTTAAATAATGCACATAGTTTAAAATTTGGATTTATTCGGTCTTTGTTAAAGATAAAATAAAATTTTTATAAAAAAAAACACGGGGACACGGGGAATATACGAAAAGCTTCAAAGCCCCGATTTTAAAATAAAAAACGCGGGTTCCTCATATCTAATATTCATCAGTTATGGGCTGAACAAACAAATTCGAACCACCCTAATGTGCATGTATTGTATTCGTATTGGTCATATGCATGTTTAAGTGTATTTGTCAGATTATATATCGCTAGCTTAGAAAGAAAAGTTGCCCAGTCCCATTTTAAAAATTTTACAGGAGAGGAAAAAATCTTCCTATAGCCATTTTCTTTAACTATGTCGCAATACTTTGAATCAAACAGTTTGCGCGTTTAAAGCAAAGCAAAACTCCATAAGAATCAAAAGGATTCGATATTTATTAAAAGATGTCGTATTATTTTGGCCTTATCGGATTTGTGGTGCTTATTTTGGACTTAGCAATTTTTCCTTTTATTGCTTATGATGAGGAAAAAACAACACGAGTACCTTTATAATTTTCGAAACGATGCGTATTCAATTTCTTTAGCCTCCTATGTCAAAATATGAGTTTTCATAAAAAGTGGACTTAGCAACTTTTCACTCTAAGCTAGCGAAATGATTCTGTATTCGATATTCAATTATTAATCTGTTTGATTTTAACCGGGTCATAATCATTAGTTTACATTTTTTCTATTTTTTTGCGTGATATGTCATTGTAGCTTATTAGTATTAACATTATCGCTTAAACTTTTCAAATATTGTACAATTTTAAACACCAATAAAAATAGAATGACCTTTAAGAACATCTCTCGAATCTTAGCTTTTTTTATGGCGGAAGGGGAAACAGAACAAATCCACTATAACAAAAACACTATTGAACATCTGCGGATCTTAGAAATTTATAGACAGGTGGCAACTCTGTAGGAATTTAAAGTACTAAAAATAATATTCCTACCGATACGGGTTATACTTAAAAAAGCTCGTATAAATCCGTTCAGTAGTTTTTGAGATTAGCGTGGTCAAAATATCCCGACTTTTATACTATGTGTGTATTGAAGATAGCAATTTTTAAAATGTGCCAACCCTACTCAAAAAGTTCAAGTTTTTGTACATGCGAAGGCCAGGCCCTTTCATTTTGTATCTCATTTTGTAATTCAAGCTACTTGTAGAAAAACTCGAGCAAAGTCCAAACTGTGAACGAATATCAAAGAAACTTTAAGGGCCGGTTACCCAAAGTCTGGTTAACACTAATCTCTGGTTAAACATCGTCTCTGGTTGAACATCGTTATCGACGTTACCGACTCCCTGTTATATGAATGGAGTCGAATACGTCGATAAAAATGTTTAACCGGAGATTAGTGTTAACCAGACATTGAGTAACCGGCCCTTAGTAAATAGGAAACCGAAACTGTTAGCTGGGACACTGTTCCCATCGATACCAAGTTTGTATATGTACTGTAACATATCAACGTTCCCCTAGCAACATTGGTATTTATGAATACTTATCAAATTAAGTTTTGAAAATTAACATTTGTATGTGAACACGGATGTACATAGGTACATTTTTGTAAATTAAACATGGCAAAGAAACCTACAACAGAGGATATTTTCTATGATCATTTAACATTAGGTCTGATGGGAACACTTGGTAAATGAAGGGATTATTGAACCATGATCTTATAATACATAAGTATAATATATGTATGTATATACCTGAATAATTATGGTTCATTTATACACAATTGTTTACTAATGAAGCTAAAATACCGCGCGTCCGCAATGTCTCCTGTGAACATCGAAAACCTTGCGAGAAAGCTCAGGTTGTGAACTGGGAGCAACGACATACGGTCTATTTGCCGGAAGATATGAAGAAATTTTATTTGTCCACAGATGGATTTCTACTACAATGGAGCTATCAGTATGCACGTAGGACCTTCATATAATTTTCTTACGCGTGTATATATGTATGTATGTATATACATACATATTAATACATGGATCGCATTTAATTTCTTTTTCAGCCAACGATTTACGCCGGGTAGGTTATATTCATCTCCCACATCTTCAGCAGATTACACTCTTACGTGAGAATTTCGAGTCCTCAATCAGTTTGAGCACAACCATACCGCCAGCCAAAAGTTCTACAACTAATTTATTGGAAATAGAAAGTCACGAAACAACAACAATTGATGGTATTTCAGGAGCATTTGGAGGATTGGGAGTTGTTGGTGATAACATAAATGGCGAAATTGATGGTGTAGGTATTCATGGAGGAGCAGGTTCCAGCGCTGTACCATTGGCAGTTGGAAAAGATCGTTGGGGAAATCTAGAGCCCGTTATAACAACCAAGACTAAAATTTTCGAACTAAATACCATTAATGATGTCGCCAAAGTGTGTATGCTCTATGAGTCAAGTGGTTCTAATAATCCCAAATTCTATCTACTCGAATTGAATGCAATGAAGTGGATATTCCTATCAGATACCTTCAGTGAATACTTGCGCATGGCAATAGCTCACTTAGGTCTACCCTACTGGGAGCTGTGCTTCTCCAATATTGGGTTGCCGTCGTGGACTGAGGTAAAAAACGCTCCTTTTAAAGATTTATCTATATTTTATTCTTAAATGTTTATTAGCAATTGTTCATGCTATTGGCCCCACACTTGCTAGAGGATTTTGAGCCACGTCGCGGGCGGCAAGTAGATCCTGCACCAGAGCATCCTTACAATATTATCGACACCTCTGTTTTTCGCATCAAACCAAAAAGTTCTATCAAAGCGGTATCATCAAGAAAAAATGTCATGTAGATGCCTCGGAGCAGAGTGTCTAGATTTCGGCGATTTTTTGTGATTTTTTTTCCTTCAAATAAATTTTTTCCATTTATAAAAATATACAAAACTTATTTTTCCACGATGATTTTACAGAAGGGGCTAATGAACTGCGTGATAAACTTGACTTAACAAGCATATTAAAAGACTGTCATAAATTTTTAATCACCCTAATCGAAGAACTTTTGAAACGATTACCTAGTCAATTAAGTATTTTAAAAAAAGATTTGATTTTGCCACCAGAAAAGTGTTTGAATCACCAGAGTGTGAGTTTCAGGGAACTGCTAATTCACTATTTGACTATGAAGGAAAGAGAAGCAGCGCTAACTGAATATTTAAATCTTTTAACTTTCCCATGGAATAACTTTTTTCAGAACGGCATTCCATCCGACTCTGAAGAATTTTGGATAATTGCGTACGGAGTGAAAACCGCAACAGGCAATAAAATGTTTAGAAATATAAGTAAAGTAGCCTTCACATTATTATCCTTGCCGCACTCAAATCCTTAAGTTGAGCGCGTTTTTTCCGTAATGAATTCAACAAAAACTAAGATTAGGCACGTCCACATACAACTTTGGCGTTGCGTTGGCACTGGCGTCGCTTTGACAGCAGCGTGTGCTTGTTACAATGAACGCTTAGCAGAGAATACTTTATCATTAAATTAACATACTAGCGGCAGACAAATCAAAATTTTATATCAATAATTGAATTAAAAACTATATGTCTTGCCAGCATTTGATTAAAAAGGATGATTAAATCACATAATTTTGATTATTTGGAACAGCTGACGAACGACGCGTAAGAAAAGTTGAGAGTTGGCCATCTTTCTTCGTTGCGTTGGCGTAGGCGTTGCCCAACTTTGGTTATGTGGAGACTTTCATATAAGCTCTGATCCAATAGCTCTGATCCAGTACTCCATGAACTTACAGGATTTTTCACGAACTTGCAGGAAAAATGTTCCCGTACTCCAAAATCCTCCAAAATCATGTAAATGAGAGCGTCTTTTGGAGAGTTGTGTAGAGAATGAAGTTGCAAGATTTTACCCGAACTTTTTCTTCTGGTAAAATCATGAAAAGTGTCAAGCAATCACTGGTTGAGGTTTTTACAGGAAAATTGTTTTTTTTTGTTCCCGTACTTTTTGTTGTTACTCACCTTTTACTCTCACTTCAGAGAGTAATTTTGCTGTATGACAGATTTACAGGATTATTCAGGAAAAGTATTGGATCAGAGCTTCTACCAGAAGACAAAGTTCGGGCTGCTAGTAGATACGCGGCATCTCGAAATTTTCCATTTTATCAACGCTTTTACCACCTGGAAGAGCATACAACCGCAATTATCAACAAAGTACAAAAGCCACAACAAGGTCTGAAAGTCACTAGCTGGCAGCACCTCGGGCAAAGACAAAGAAACTTTGCTGGCAACGTAACAGGGCAATTGTCCGGCCGGTTTTGAACTATACAGCGCCCGTGTGGTAACCAGGGACTAGTACGACGCAGCGGATTTGCCAAAACACGGCGCTCAGGACAGCGACAGGATGCCTTCTGATGTGGCCACAACATCACCTGCACGACGAGGCCCACATACTCCCCGGTAAGGAGCATAACAGAATGCTCTGCAAGCAGTTTTTAGTCGGGAGACGCAGACGTGGCCACCCAAACAGACAACTGCTTGCAGAAGAGCCCTCGCCCAGGCACGTCAGGAGGCATCTCTACGAACTGACGGACGAAGTGCAGAGGTTCAACAAACAACCTCTGGACCCGGCATCCAATCTACAGGCCTTGAACGACATTCAAAGAAAGGCAGTCTCGAATTATGTAGACTCCCGACCTGTGAAAGCCGTTGTGGGCATACAACAACCAGATGTGGACGAGACACTCGGACCACAATAGCCCAACAGCGCTCTGGTTACTGCAGCAGGTTGAACTCATACGTGAGCAGAATAAACGAACATGTTCTAAACGAATGCCCGGCATGCGGAGAGACGCCCCTTGACTCACAGCATCTCTTCGCATGTCCACTGAACCCCACCCTATTGACGCCCCTGTCCCTGTGATAGACCACCTTGGGGCCGAACGCTTCCTAGGGCTACCGCTAGTAGTTTCGCGGCAATGATTGAAGGATTAACCGATCTGGGCGGGGTTGTTGTAGCCGCTACAACAAAAACAACAACGCTAATAAAACATTCTCACGACAGCCGGTTCTACGTACCGGAATGACTCGGGTTTTACCCGACCAAGGGCTGTTGTTTCGGCGATCTAACCCCGTTTAGGTCGGCGAAATCCATCAAACTTTGCGATTCTAGGGCTACATCTGCTCCGTACCCTTCTGCTCAGAGCTGGTAGAGTCTAACCCAGGGCCAGAAATTTACACCTGCCTCGTATGCCAGAGACGACTGCATACAAACTCCACCTCGGTCAGGTGCAATGCCTGTGGCGGGTGGAGTCACCTCCGCAACTGCTAAAGCCTACGTACGCACCGGAAATGTACCACGTCGTTCGTGGCCGCATGCTGCGCGAACCGGACCACCGCCACGGCAAACCACCCCCGGGCTGCACACAATCAACACACGCACACCCCAACACAACACAACAATAGACACACAAACAAACACAACCCGTTGAATTGCGCCGGATACAATGTGCACCGTCGAGATCGCGAGCGAGAGGTTTAGCGTTCATCGCGCACCACACCGTGCAGTATCGTCTGCTTGAAGCAGACATCGACCGCAGGGATACCATCCTAGAATGTCAGGGTATTGTTATCCNCCACGGCAAACCACCCCCGGGCTGCACACAATCAACACACGCACACCCCAACACAACACAACAATAGACACACAAACAAACACAACCCGTTGAATTGCGCCGGATACAATGTGCACCGTCGAGATCGCGAGCGAGAGGTTTAGCGTTCATCGCGCACCACACCGTGCAGTATCGTCTGCTTGAAGCAGACATCGACCGCAGGGATACCATCCTAGAATGTCAGGGTATTGTTATCCGGTCAGGCGATGTTAAGCTCGAAATATTTAACATATACATACCCGCTGTCACCAGCTGCCCGGCAGGATATCACCCTGAAATAGGTGCGCTCCTCAGAGGTGAAAACCGTATGGTAGTTGGTGACTTTAACGCGCACCACGATCTTTGACACTCAATACTGTCAAATGATCGTAGGGGAATACATCTGGCTGAGCAGATAGACGATTCGACATTCTTCGCAATGAACGACGACGCACCCACCAGGATTATGGGCAGCAGCTCGTCAGATCTAACAATTGTCAGCGCTGGTCTGCTAAACAGCGTATCATGGCGACCTATGCTGACCCTAGCATCAGGCCATCTGCCCATAGTCATCTCGATTGATAAACCTGCCGACTTTGCTTCCGTGGATTGCCGGACTTATGTAAACTTTTCCAAAGCTGACTGGAAAGGCTTCACGGATGTTACTGAGGGCGCCTTCACTGCACTGCCCATACCAACCGACGTTCATGTAGGTGAACGTAAGCTCCGCAGGGTTGTCACCGCTGGTGCAGCTCGCTGCATCCCAACAGGATGTATTAAGGATCCACGTCCGAACTTTCCTGCTGAAGCGGCTGTTCTAGCCGATGAGCGTGACAACCTTCGTCAGGCCGATCCCAGAAATCCCCGTATCAGGGATCTCAATTCGGAGATTCGGCAACTTGTGAACGTACATAAGCGGAAGAAATGGGAAGAGCATTTGAAGTCCTGCAACTTCGCCTCTGGTGTGAGGTCGTTGTCCAACCCGACGAAGCGTGCCGACAGAGTCGAAATAGACTTTGGTGTCCACGCTTTTTCGGACCCGGAGCGATGCGCGAGCTATTTTACCCGGCAGTTCATTCTGCATCCTTCGGTGGATAAAGCGAAACATCGAGTGACCAGAAGGCTGCACAAAATGCCAAAACCCAGTGCGCCTCTTGTTTTCACCAGCGGTGAGGTAAGGGTAGCCATCGGGAAGGCGAAAGCCTCCAAAGCCATTGGACACGACGGAATATGCATGTTGATGCTGAAAAATTTGGGTCCCGCGGGAGTAACATACCTAACGGAGGTCCTTAACCTATCTATGGTCACTCTCGTCATTCCAGAAACCATAAACACTCAGATAACTCGTGGCCTTAACCGAAACCGCCCCTGTGAGAGAACTATTCTAGTAGCGTTGGACCTGTCCAAGGCGTTCGACACCGTCAGTCATTCAACACTACTAGAAGATATAGAGGCCTCGTCACTCCCACAGGGACTCAAACGGTGGTCGGCGAATTACCTGAGTGGTCGACACTCGTCAGTATTTTTCAGAGACAAAACTAGCAAGCCACGTAAAATTAAACAGTGGGTACCGCAGGGTGGTGTCCTGTCCCCACTACTGTTTAATTATTACATTTCAAAAGCTTTCTCTTCTTGCTGACGATTGTTCGATCATGGCGTCTGGGAATGGAATTGATGACTTGTGCTCGAAAGTAAACGGTTATCTCGCCGAACTCTCTCGCTTCTTCACTGCAAGGAGCCTTGCCCTATCCCCTGCGAAATCCTCGGCAACCCTATTCACCAACTGGACGAAGGAGGTCGAACTGCAACTGGGTATTCACGTCGATGGCGTAACAATACCGACGGTGAATAACCCGACAATCCTTGGGAGTTACCTTCGACAGTCTGCTCTCCTTCTCGGCGCCTACAACCGCAATTGTCAACAAAGTACAGAGCCGCAACCATGTTCTCAAGTCGCTGGCCGGCAGCACTTGGGGCAAAGATAAAGAAACGTTGTTGGCAACGTACAAGGCAATTGGCCGGCCGGTTCTAAACTATGCAGCGCCCGTATGGTCGCCGGGGACTAGCAGGACGCAGTGGATGAAGCTACAGACCTGCCAAAATACGGCATTACTAACAGCGACCGGATGCCTCCTGATGACACCCCAACACGACCTATATGACGAGGCCCAGATGCTCCCAGTCAAGGAGCATAACATAATGCTCTGCAAGCAGTTCCTTGCTGGGAGCCACAGACGTGGCCATCCCAGCGGACAGCTGCTCGTGGAAGAGCCCTCGCCAAGCCACGTCATGAGGCATCTTTACGAGCTGACGGACGAAGTCCAGAGGTTTATTAAACAACCTCTGGACCCGTCAACCTACCGACAGACCCTGAACGGCATTTACAGTGAATCAGTCTCGAGTTATGTAAACTCCCGCCCTGTGAATGCCATGTTACCTTTTATTTTACAGTTACTTTGTTCATACGATAGTACTGTATCAACTGTACGCTTAAACATTTTCATTTAATTTTAATATCAACTCTGTATGTCAACGTCTATTACATTACTTATGTTTTAAACTTTTTCTTGTTTTAAAACTTTTAATTGTATAATTAATGAACCGACTTCATTCATACAAAACTCGACAGGTCGCGCTGACCATATTCGTCGAGGAGCCATTTTGAACAGCGTATAAATAATTAAACTTTTTATTAGCGTTGTTGTTGTTGTTGTTGTTGTTGTTGTGGCGGCTACTAAGCCCCGCTCGGGTCGGTTCATCCGTCAACGTTGTCATCAGTTTCAGGGGGAGGCCCAGGAAGTGTACGACTTCCACAGGGTCTGTCCATAGGAACAGTGGCGTCAGCTGAGTGGGGTTTTCAGGGCATGTGAAGAGGTGCCGGGAGTCATGTGGCGACGCTCCACATGCCCGGAATTGGTTGGGCACATCCTCATTGATTCTAATCAGGTAAGAGTTTAGCCTGCTGCAATAGCCAGAGCGAAGTTGGGCTATTGTAGTTCGGGCAGACAAAGATCTGTCCCGTCCACGTCCGGTGGTTGTGTGCCTAGAACGGCATTCACAGGACGGGAGTTTACATAACTCGAGACTGATTCACTGTAAATGCCGTTCCATGCATGTTACCTTTTATTTTACAGTTACTTTGTTCGTACGATAGTACTGTAACGTAACAGAAAATTTTTTAGTCACAACCTAAAATTATAATTTTACGAATAATTATAAAATTATCCAATTGGAGGAATAACCGGACGATATGAGGACACGGTACAACAACAACAACAACAACAACAACAGGACACGGTTTCCTGCCATTAAAATACAATAAATTATCAAATCGGAGGAATAACCTGGCGACATGACGACTTAGTTCCCAGCCATTTAAATTTTAATCTGAATAACACATTCTGACGTAACTAACAATTCGAGGAATAATCTGGTTAATTGTGGACNGACACGGTACAACAACAACAACAACAACAACAGGACACGGTTTCCTGCCATTAAAATACAATAAATTATCAAATCGGAGGAATAACCTGGCGACATGACGACTTAGTTCCCAGCCATTTAAATTTTAATCTGAATAACACATTCTGACGTAACTAACAATTCGAGGAATAATCTGGTTAATTGTGGACCAATAAATCACAATACACTTTTCAATTTGGTATAATTGACAAAGAATTTAAAGGAATAAGACGAATGATACATATATAAGCAGAAAGTTTTGCGCATGGTTCTGGCCCTCAGCGGTATTACCATTATGTATCAGTGGAGCGACGATTGGATACATCATTTGGAAAACAACATACTAAGATATATATTTTGAGAGGCTGTGGTTTTATATAAACCGGCTAACCTACCCGAAACACCCAAAAAAAAAAATCGCATCTTATACATATACTTTTTTTTCTTATCTTTTTATTGTGCTCATTTAATAGAAATCAATATTTTGATTCTCCAAATCAGCGAGCATTTTGTCCCGGATTTGTGGCCGTGGATCTTCCTTTATTTCTGTTGGAACCGCCCCTGCTACTCCCAGCATAAACTCCAATTCATCAAGCGTTAGTTTTTCACCACGTAACTCTAATGGACCAATGTATTGCTTCTTCAATTGACCTTCGTGATATATGAAAATTGTTGGTAGATTTTTTTCGGGAAAATTTGGTATACAAGTGGTTGCTATTGATCGCAAGAACTTTGTCCGTGGGAAACGCACTGCCAGCTGTTGCATGTGGTGATGGATGAGTGCGCATAACGGCACTCCATTGGCATAGAGGTGTAAAACCACCCAAATGCCTTCTCCAGCTTTCGTCACCTCACTTACATAGTCCTGTCCAGATATCTCCCGCACTGAGCCAAATTTTGCCTTTTCCGCAAAAGCTCTCATTTCTGCAATGCGTCGCAGACGATATTGCTCCAAGACCTCTTCATCTTCTGAGTCCTCTAGTTCATCTAACTCATCTAGTGTCATATCGTCAATCTCCTTGGAACGGGCGTCTTCTCCCGACCTCAAATTTGTGCGTTTGTTAATAGCGTCGTCCACCATAGCTTGGATTTGTTCCTCCGTAATTTCAGCCTCTTGTTTCGGGGGCAAAATGCCCTTGGCACGGAGTACATCATTCCATTCGGTATCTTCATTAGGGTCCTACAAATTGAAACCAATAAAAAAAATTCTAACTTATAACTGCATGGTAGTGTTATTTTTGGGACACCCTCATTACCATATTTGGAAATGGCCAATTTGTTTGACAGATGGATGTGTGTATGGATGTATATCAATAGTAACTACCTGCATATTGAAAGCCTTATATTGTATATGATATCTTTAGTCGGTATGATGAAACTTTAACACAAAAAGTAATAAAAGTTAATTTATTTTACAAAAATAACACTTCTCTGACTAATCTAAAACAAAACTGATTGTTCCCATTCACAGATATCAGTGCTGCCAAACACTGAACTTGATAAAGTGGCCAGAAAAAATTAAAATATCGAAGAACGTTCGCCGCAGTTTCAAGATTCTTTTAATAAATTTTTAGTTACATATTTGCTTAGATTAAAAAAAAACTGGTTTCGCCTTGTTCAAATTACATTTATTACATTTTAATGTTATTTCATATTCATATCTCAAAGTGTACAAAGTAGTTAACGGCTTTCAGAAGAATAGTTTTTGAAAATGAGTTTAAACACTCAAGTGACGCTTAAGAAAACCCAAGACAATACACATTGGTCATAATATTCGACGTCAAAAAAGCACACGAGAATAATAGCTTCTGAATAAAACTTAAAACTAAATTCAATCATGAGTGGTATGTTAAAGAGGCAACTGCGCCAAAATTATTATTTATTTAACTTGGGAACTGGGCGCCATCGAAAGATAATTTACCAAAATTTATTATTAAAAAAGAGAAGATTCAATCGGACTTGTTTGCCTTCTTGAATACTCCTCATATATGCAGTTATGCTTTTTGCAAGCTTAGTAATTAAGCAATTTTAAAATTAAGATATATGTATTAGAGTTGGTGAAACAAGTTATTAAATTTTTCAACTATGGCAGCAATTCCCTTAACTCGTCGTTGGGAATTTATTGCATGGTTGTATTATCGAGGTTTTACGCGCAGGCACTGTTTCTGGTGTAGGTATTGCTTCGCCAGTGGCTACCTTGTTGGCAAACACTTGTTTAACGCCACCACCCTTCTGTTTTGCCATTTGATAATCACCAGAGTCAAAGAATTTTTGCTAAAAATTAAGATGGGCATTTTTATTTTAACCAACAAAAGGAATCAAGTATACATACGCCTTTTTGTAGCCGCTTCTGTAGAAAAGCAGAGTGACCACCAGGGCCACGTAATCCTGATGGATACTTCGATTTCAATTTCTCTTCTTCGATTTTCTCCAACTCTCGTGCGTTTGCCTAAAATGGGCAATAAAGTAAGTTACAAAGAGACAGAATGAATAACAGCTTAAAATGAAAATACCTGGTCTTGGGAATCAGGTGCATCTTGTGGAGTTGTCGGTTGGCTGGTCTCTTCAGTTGCACTCATGGTCGCTTTTCTTTTAGATCAGTTGCTAGAAAAAAGTAATAACTTTACAAATTGAAACCCCCAAGAGAAAAAATGTTTTCATCGCGTTCGTAGCAAATCATAATTTGAACTAAGTTTGCCTTTATACACATAAAACCATATGTACATACATACATATTAGACACTTAATTAGAGTACATAATAATATAAAGCCATACTTCCTTTACATGCCCGGAAAACCCGACAACCCTAACGGCGTTGCCCCTGTGGACCGACCCTGTAGAGGCTGCACGCTTCTTAGGGCTGCCGTTAGTGGAACTCGACGCCAACGACTGAGATATCAACCGATCTGGGCGGGGTTGTTGTAGCCGTTATAACAACAACAACGTACATATCATAAGCATTTTAAGTATACCGCATTGTGCTGCAAGTGTTTATTTTTGTGCAAATATTTATATTGCCTGCCTATTTTCAAGATGCCCCTCCATTTTTTAATACATACAAACAAGAGTATGTTATCTAGAATATTAATCGACTTCAATGCATTTCTACAGTTTCATCTCGCTAGTATCTGTATATTTATCCCTTTGCATATAGCAGCACAAGATATGCATTTTTTATTGCCATACATCACGTGCATTTCGCAATGATGGTGCAGCAATTTTCACTTTCGCAATATAACAATACGTGTTATTTTGAAATGTGGTATATATATACACAAGGACTACGGCTTTTGTCCGAATGAAAAAAAAATCGCATGGTGAAATATGATAAAATTTTATTCCGAGGCCTTCGGACAACATACCTGAACGACAAAAAATGTTTGGATTTATTTGACTTTTACACTCCTTGTCGTTGTTTCGAGACGCTTTCTGGGGAGCTCCGCTAATTGGTGGCAGCCAAGTACAAAAACCAACAACTGCTCGGCCGTTGACACGCACAAAAAACAATGCAAGTGAAGCGGTGAATATAATACGAGTAACGGTCCACGTAGCTATTGATTCTTCAGTTCTAGTATGGTCGAAAAGACTTTCAATTCGTCGATTTTCAAAGCACAGTATTGAAAATCATATGCAAACAAAAATGGATGTCACAAAACTTCTGCTGTAAAATCCGAATCCAGCTTCTTTTTCGTCAGAGTTGTATTGAGAGTGGAGTAGAGAATTCGGAAAAACATCGATGCATCGGAAATATCGATGTTTTGCTTCGATGCATCGAAAATTTTACAGTCGATGTTTTTTGAAAACGGGCATCTCTAATACATTGAACCGTCATTCCAGTTTTTAAATTGTAACTATAAAAAAGAGAAGTGACTTTGACCAAAACATGTAAATGGCTCCAAAAANACAGTCGATGTTTTTTGAAAACGGGCATCTCTAATACATTGAACCGTCATTCCAGTTTTTAAATTGTATAAAAAAGAGAAGTGACTTTGACCAAAACATGTAAATGGCTCCAAAAAGTTTCATTAGAAACATAATCCACTCAGTTGCAACAACTTTTTTAAAATTTTGCTAATAACACATTTTGTTGTGCAACATTAAGGGTACTCATTTAAAAGCGCAAAACTCTCGCAAACTGTGCAACTTAAAACCCTCGCAAATGAAATGTCAAAATTTGTATGGAAAGCTATTTGTTGTTTTGTCGCGCAAATTTTCGCAGTATGATGTGCAACCCTCAATCAACTATTTGGTTTACTTTCATTTTGATTTGTGCTCAACGCTTTTTCGTAAGACTTAAATATTTTCTTAGATTTGAGTTTCAATTAATCAACTTTTTAACTTAAGCATTGTCAAGTAATTTAAAGTCTTGCTATGGTGTACAAATAAATTGAAATTTGCTGTGCCAAATGCAGAGTAAAATTTTGACAGTTGAAAAACCAAACAAACGCTCGTGCGAAAGCTTTATATTTGTGTGTTGCTGAAATTCTTAAAATTTATATTTATTTTATAATTTGCAAGTAACGTACGCTTTTTTTATGCTGTTTCAGCTTTCATTTTCATGTTCACTCCTTATTACCGCCAAGCAATATTATGTGTATACATGGTTATAAGCGGTCAAAATTTTACCTAGCCCCATGAGCTAGGTAAAATTTTGACGTTCGTATTCACCACGAGAANATTCCGTGTATTTTGTTATTGCGTTTTGGTGCAGGAGGATGTCAAAACGAAAGGGAATAGGAGACAATTTTCGTCTTGGACCTCCTAAAGTTGCGCCACTTCGTCTTGGATGACATTCTCCTGTACTAGTGTAGAGACAAAAATATCCAATCAGCTGATCAATCAACACCACCTTGTATGGATGCGCCTTGCCCTAGAGTGCAGACTTGTCTTATGGTGCTTTCGCACGGGCGATTTTTCAGGCAACTTTTAGTTGAAAGCAAAAATCGCCTCGTCCGAACGGCCTTTCAACTAATCGCTTTCAACAAAGTTGGTCGCCAGCCAACTTTGAGCTCGTTCAACTTTTTTTCCTTGCAACCCTGTGTTTGTTTACATTCTGTATCAGTGTTGGGAAATTAAATTGTACTTTTCGGCTATAAATTGTATACACTTTTTAATTCGCTCATATATTTTCTTAGTACATTCCCTTCAAGACCAATGAATTTATGGTATTCATGAGAAAGTTTTATTGTTTATGTACATACGTTTACGTAGTTTACACTTTTACAAATTGATTCCACGTGCACATGTANGAGCTATATATTTTTAGTATTCATTACAAAATTTTACTAAAAAGTACTGCGTAGTAGGAAAGTATATTGTAAATGAAATTGTATAAAACAAGTACAATTGTACCAAAAATGCCAACACTGTTCTGTATCATACTTTTTTTTCTTTTTTACTTTTTTACTCTTATTTTATATTTCAGCTTCGCTAAAAGCACTTCTACCAACGCTTGGCTTACCAAATTTATGCCAATCGATCAAATTTTGCGATTTAAATTCATTTTCAATAATGTAAATAACGACTCGTGTTGAATCGAAAATCGCCTCGTCTGAATAGGGATGGCAACTTTTTCACTTTCAACTTCTCATTCAACTTCGTATTCAACTTTTGTTGCCTGTAAAATCGCCTCGTGCGAATGCCCTATAAGCTTTGAGCTTGTTCAACTTTTTTTCCTTGCAACCCTGCGTTTGTTTCCATTCTGTATACGTACCATGAACGAAAGACACAAGATCACGCGGAAAGGAAAGAACGAAAAAAGTTATTTTCTAGCTGCCGAAATCTCGACGCCATCTTTGTTGTAAAAAGTAAACAACGAAGAGAACGGAGAAAACCGCGAAATTGTTGAACGCATGAAAAATCATTTTTATTATGCAAATTCTTCTATAAATCGTGCCGTTGTGTTAAATTATTCTTTATCTTATGTGTACACACGTTGTCACAAGCGAAAATGAAGAAAATTGCAGTAAAAAGCCACCATCAAATTGTAAACAACGAAGAAATGTAAACAAACGGCTAATGTCAAAATCGTTCAACTTTTTTCCTAAATGCGATTCTAACGGGCTAGTCTCCTGCCCGCGTGATCTTGTTTTTTTGGTTCATGTATACATACCACCATTTTGAAATTGTATTCTGGCGAGTGGTTTGGTAAAACTTGGTAAGAAAGCACTTTTATTAACGCTTGGCTTACCAAATTTACGCCAATTGATAAAATTTTGCGATTTAAATTCATTTTAAATAATGTAAATAACAATTCGTGTTGAATCCAAAATCGCCCCGTCTGAATACGGATGGCAACTTTTTCACTTTCAACTTCTCATTCAATTTCGCATTCAACTTTTGCTGCCTGTAAAATCGCCACGTGCGAATGCCCTACATGCACGGACTTGGAATGTTCGATATTTAAGAAAGTATCGATTTAATTCATTGCATGTAAAATCGATATGCCGATATATCCGGCTGAATAATACCGATATCGAAAAAATCGATGTTGAAAATCCTGCTGCCAATTGAATAGAATATTAAACCTGCCTATCAACTCACCTAATTGTGTTATTTCCAACTTGTATATTTAAAGTATGTTCACATATCAATATTATCTCAATCAAAGCTCGTTTTTGAATCTCACCGTTTACACAGGCAAATCTCAGATTATTAGCTGTCAAATTTGTTGTGCTTGTTATTCTCACATCCCAAGGAAAAGTTATGTTTCTTCTCTGTGGCACCGTGATCACGTTTTTCTGCTATATTAAGCAATATAAATATATTTTAACTTAACATTTTATTAAAAATACCTTTACGAACCTCTTTTCCTTGCTAGCGTCCATTTTTGTTTACTTTTACATTTGGCATTTCTCCTCTTTTTCGCAAAAACAATCGATAAAACTAGGATGGACACCGAAAAGTTATCGGTTAAATCTGAGATTATTTTATAATTACAGATTAACAAGGGGCGAATTTTATATGGCTAATCTCTTGTTCTAATTACAGATTAGGGTGTTAAGCTCGAAAATGAGGATAATCTACTTATATGTGAACCTAGTATTACTGAGGATTAAAACGGGATGCCGGTCGACTCAAGCGGTTTGTCAAACTTAAGAACTGAATAAATCACACAAGCTGCTGATTAAACCTTCTTTAGAACCAATGTGTACACTTGACAGTTGTTCATAAACTCAAAACGTTTAACTCGAGTTAATGGCTCAATGAGGACGTAATATGAAGCTCATTTCATTTTACTTATTGCTGCACCAAGGCGAATTAATACAAGGTGGTATTAAACACATGAGGTGCAATCCCGTAATCCTCGGACTAAAACTAGTAAAACTGTCAAAAAATAAAAATTCGCTCAGAGCGGGAGAGTAACATTGGAAAGTAAGGGATCCTTTTCTTTAAACCTGATTTCATGGCCAATAATTTTCTCCATTGCCTTTAACATAAAGCATGTGAGACTTGTCAGCCTGAATGACTTGGCAAGAGAGTAATTTTTCTTACCTGCCTTCGGGATAAAGATAACCCTGGCCCTCTGCCACACCTTGGGAATGTGGGCCAGTGCTAGACTGTCCCTCATAATATCCACAAAATGTGGAAGTAAGAGCTTGCCCTGCTTCAGCAACAACGGACATATACCACCCACCCCAGGGGCCTTGCACCGTTCGAAGGAGTCCAAAGCCCACCGCACTGTTTGCCGATTTATAAGGCCAGCTTCCAGTCCAGTGGGGATGGCCTGAACGCACGGAACATCGCATCCCCGGCGATCGGAATGGCGTCCGGAAAGTGGGCCGGCAGCAGAGCGCGTTCAGTACCTGAAAAAGTCCCATTTGGTAGCCTTATAGCTAATCTGGTGCCTGGGTTGCCCCTTGCCAAAGCTTTATGAAGCCTAGCAGGAGTGGATGCGATGTTCTCAAAAAAGGTCCTGAAGCTGCTACGATTAGCTTTTCTAATCTCCTTATTGTACTTTGTCAGACTGACTGAGTATTCCTCAGAGTTCCCGGTGCGCTTTTTCCTATTGAAAAGTCAGCGCACCTCCTTCCTATGAACCGAGAGTTCCCGTGGCCACGAGGGAGGCTGAGACTTCCCCTTAGGCTTCGACACGGGACAGTTGGACGTAAAGGCATCTAAAATAGCGCCGTGCAGCCTATTAACCCTCTCCTCTAACGCCATACAATCTACCTTTCTTTGTTGTACCTTTATCCTGGATAGGTTCAGTCTAAGTAACTCTTCATATTTGGCCCAGTCTGTTTTCCTGGGGTAACTTGTCTGACAAATAGCTCCGAGTGCAAACCGGATAATCCTGTGATCGGACAGCGAGGGCTCAGATGAGACCTTCCACTGATAGTGTGCACCGGTGGGATGTCCTTCCCCCTTTTGGTGCATAGACCGGGTCCCTTTCACCCCTAAATAACCGTAGCCTTTTCTGCCAGCCAGGCTGCAGTTCGCTCATCCTTGCAGTGCACAAGTAGCATGCCTGACCTAAAATACACCCAACAAAACACCAGAGGGTGCTTTCACCCTTTTAGGACTTCATCCATAATTGCATCCTGGAGTCTGGTTAGGTCCTGAGGGCATAAGGCAGCTGCAGGGTAATCACAGGGCAGCACAGCCACCCGGATGCTTTTAATAGCATCACAATAGCTGGGCTACTGAGTGGTTCCTTCTTGAGGCCGACCCTGGCCCGCAGGGCCCTCCAGGCCTCTAGACTCTGATTGGGG